TGAGATGATCTTCCAGTGTTTGACATTCAGAAATACACCGTTCGTGCAGTTTAAAAAAGGCTGAATAAAAAATCCTCAATTGTATAGCCACAGTTGATGTGTTTGTTTTTATGCATAAGTGTATTTTTTAGTTAGTATTTGTATTTAATAAAGCACTATTTTAATGCATTAAAATAATTGGTAAATGAAAAACATTACGTATGATAAACCAAACTGAAAAAAGCAGACCACACTGAAAGTCAAAGTGTAATTCGTAAATTGAGTGGAAATGGGCTTCTGTAAGTGCTTCTGTGGTTCCTCACAAGAGGTTGTTAAATCTGACACAGAGACACTGAAGATTCAGGATAAACCCCAAATCCAGCATAGAGAGGTTCAGTGAATGTGGTGTTGAATGTGTATAAAGATCACAGGCGTCTGAACACAAGAAGAGAGATCACATAATCTATGATATAATTAAATATGCACAGAAGAGTGTGTGTGTCCAGGTATTCCCTATGTTATTGCGACAAAATGTCCCCACAAGGATATTAATACCAGTAAATTTTGATCTTGTGTGGACATTTTTTGGTCCCCATGAGGACCAAAGTTTTTATTTAAATCTAAAATAGCAGAAAGTGTTGTGTGAGTGGTAGAGTTAGGGTAAGGGGATAGAAAATACAGTTTGAACAATAAAAACCATTACGCCGATGGAATGAATCCTTAAAACATGGAAACGCAACATGAGTGTGTGTGTGTGTGTGTGTTTGTGAGAGAGAGAGAGAAAGAGAGAGAGAGAGCTTACATTTGCTCAGTCCTGGTGTGATTCTGAAATGTCCTCCATGGTCCAAACTATACAGAGACAAAAACAACACACAAAGAAAAATGTTTTGATATGAGGGAAGATTGTTAAAACTGTAAATAAAATGATAGTTTTTTTGCTTTTCTCTCATCATTTACTCTCCCTCATATTATCCCAAAAGCTTCAGATCCATCAGATTCATCTTCCAAACACAAATGAAGATATTTTTAATGAAACATGAGATATTTGTTTATTTAATCATCCTGGACCTATATCATTGTCTCTGCCTTGCTTTATGGCTCCCTTGTCAAAGGCAAACAGCAAAAAATCACTCTTAGGTAACCCAAATCACATACAGACACACATATGAGACATAACTGCTAAACATACTTGAGTATCTGCAGTTCATAGTTTGGATCCTCCAGTTTGGGTTTGAGCAGCTGGACTCCTGAGTGTCCTGGGTGATTGTAGCTCAGATCCAGCTCTCTCAGGTGTGAGGGGTTTGAACTCAGAGCTGAAGACAAATAACCACAGCCTTCCTCTGTCACCATACAGCCAGACAACCTACACACACACATCACCAGTCAGTCTAGAGCTGGACGATTAATCGAATGTGATTGTCATGCGCATCTCGTTAGTAAAGCCGGTTCTGTGATCAGTAGTAAATCTACATCACCTGCTTTCAGATGGAGCAGCATTTACTACACAGAGCC